TTCTATTTCTTCTATCTTAGAAAGTAAGCAATATTTTTAATCATTTCCAACCTACAAATCAGGGAACAACTCTATTAATTTGCTAAATGTAAAATATTAAATTAACAAATAATTAATAATAAGTAATAATATTTCAAAAGTTTCTCTTTTTATGGCTATATTTCAAAATTTTCTCTTTTTATGGCGCGTTTATTTTAATAATTTAAAATAAAAATCTATACAGAAAATTTTCATTCGCATTTGTATTTACGTCATATGCCACGCGAAAATCATCTTAGAAACTGCGAACTAATGACGGTACTGCTTATACAAATATCACATTTGATGACTGTTTTCCTTCATCTTTACGTATAGAATCATGGAATATATTATGCAGCGTTGCCACTCGCATGTGTTCTCAAAAGAAAAGAAACAAGATCATCCGCGTTAAAAGGAAGACCGCAAGACGTGGTTGTAATTAAGTTTAATTTAGGACACAATTAGTATGAAATTACCAAAATATTACCAATACTCGATCTCCTACTAGTCCATTTGACCAAATCGAACTATGACCTATTGGGCAAAATGCCTTCCATTACCTAATTAATACTATTAAATTACCGTCTTTTCATTCCCCACTTACGTCAGATCGACGTAGATTTGACGTTCATTAGGTCAGGTCTAACAGACTTTCGGACCTATCTGGAGGTCAATTGAACGTATTTTCGACTAATTTTGCTGCTTGAGAAGGTTAGTTGTACCTTGGTCTTACGTCGTGCTACATAAAACAAAACTTAACTTACTAATGCCCGTTTCCACCAATGTAGATTAATATTTTAATCTCGATCCAACTTACTCTTTGTCTTTTTCTAGTTCTAAAGATCGGAAAAAGACGAAGAATAAGTTAAACCGAGATTAAAGTTAATCTACGTTGGTGAAAATGGACCTTATTAATTCGTACAACTGAGTATCTCACTTAAGGTTTAAGGAAACTTAATTTCCTTGCCTTAGTACGTAGCGCATCTAAAAATATCTTCGCATCCGTTCTCATTTCTATTTTAATATTTTGTATATGCCGGGAAAAACCCTCGGATTGGATGTTTTACATTTTTAGATCTTTCTAGAGGAAGACTTTTATCTGTTAATTTAACGAAGACATCTCGTTTTTTTTTTATTCACACTTTTTGTTCTCTACAAATGTTACTCTCTCCATTTCTATAAATATTATTATTATTATATTTCATAAAATATTTTTTGCTTCGTAAAGCCGATATATCGGCCTTACGCTCAGTTGGTCCAGCATCTCTTAATATGGACCGAGACGAGAGGCGGACCTCGTGATCTTGGTCAATCCCACGCAAAATCCGCGATAGAAGGGATAAATATATCTCTTACGTGACCGCTGTGCTTACGCGCAATGGTGTCCTGCTACGATACCACAATGGAAGTCATCGCATTCCCCGCGTGGTCGGAATTATTATAGCACTATATTTTGGCTAAACAGCGACCACGCTAATACACGTCCAAATTGAGGACATTGCCTCGTAAATAAGAATTCGTTATGTTTCGACTTTATTTTTTACTGACTTTCTATGCATTTCAAAAGCACGAGTAATTATGAATCTTAGATCAGCCTGCAGATCGCAAGTTTTTTATAACAATAACGAAAAAGAGCGGAACGTAATTTCATTCGCATAGAAATCTCGCATGAATTCGATTACATACAATATAATGATCCTACATAACACAGCGCACACATGCATACTATTTTAATTATTGTTTAAAAAGTTACGAGTAGTATGAAAGTAAAATTGTTCAACATTGTTAACATATTTATTACAATATAATTGATAGATTTTTTCTCCCAATCAAAAGACATAATTTATTGCTATACACGCAAGTCTGTATAAAATTAGTTGCAAGAAGATTCCTTTTTACCACATATAATTGTTCTTGAGCTCAATAAAAATAATAAATAAGAATAAAATATAACACAGTTTTTAAAGCATATCATACCTATGCATGTCATATTCAACAGTTTTTTTCCCACAAAAACCACAACCTCAATTCATGTAACCGGAATTTAGACATTGTAATCGGCTTTTAATGGTTGCAAAATCGTTTTTCCATCGGGATGGTGATATATGCTAGTAACGAGCAGAATCACGAGAGTACAAAATACTATCGAATCCGTTATAAAAAACCTGAGGAAATAAAATATATCGTCTCAAACTTAAATTGTTCAAAGTCATGCTCAAAGCGGAACGTTCGTTGTGTTTGAGTTGTAACACTTTAAATGGAGTTATTACGACCGAAACGGCATATGCGTTGCTTCGCCTACAAGTGGCCATATAGATCTCAAAAGAATTGCCAAGGAACACTCCACGTAGCTGATCACGTTTCTTGTTATAGCGCGTTCTTGTTATCAATCGACAACGAATTAAAATTTATGCACGTGCTCGTAGATCGTCAATGGCTACGTTTACACCATACATTTAGGCCGCGGCCTATACAATAGATGTCCTTATTTATCCTGTGGTTTAAACAAAAACACCTATCGTATAACCGGACTGAGCGTACGTTGTAGCCAATGTCTTTTTGATCGTAACTGGACTTTCGATGACAGCTGGTCAACACATCAGATAACTAGTAGACTTTCATGCTTTGCAATGAAGGGAGATCGGAGAGCTATTACTATATTAAATTAATAATTATATTTCTTGTAATAGTAAATATATATTCAATTCCTTTTTAATATTTTTAAGAAAAATTCTATTTTATCTTCTTATTAAATTGTTTATTTAAAATGATTTCTGTATAATTATATGATAAGATTAAAAATACATAAAAACAAGAAGCAAATTCATCCTCCATGTGCTTTTAATTTCTAATCGATTCTTCATCCATCTTTTATTTATAACAGAGTTGTGATGTTAATCGATAATTTAACATTTAAGATACATTGAACTGGTACTTTAGAATTCAAATAAGATAACTTTTTTTTGCACAGTATTTTCATATTAAGCAGTAAGTAATTTATTAACGCGGTTGTCGTGATGCGGAAAAACGATTTAATAAGCTTACAATTACAGGCGTCGGCGCTGTGTTTAACAGCGGACGAAATTGAGGCTCAGAGAAGTGGCTGGAACTTAAATCCCAATACGCAGTATCACATTCAGACTGATGAGGGTCCGGAGAGATTTTTTCGCTTTCAAACATCGAACGGTCAGTATAGGAAAGAGAAGAGATTGGCCGATGGTACAGTGATCGGCACTGAAGGCTGGCTAGACCCTCTTGGATATTTGCGTCTGAAGGATTACATCGCGGACCACGAGGGATTTCGAATTTTAAGGTAACCTGACTAATATAGGAATAAAATTAATATTCGAAACACACCTAAACTAAAATCACTAGAAATCAAGAGTAATTAAGTACTTAATGACGAATTCACATTGCCGGAATCCTTTTAGGTCAAAAATGGTTTACGTCGGTAAGGATCGACCTATTCAGGACGCGATGGCGGAAGCAAAGAAGACTCCAGCGCAGACTGGAATCTTGGCCAGGCCCAAGAGGCCACCAAATCCTTTCAGGTAAAGGATTAATTTCGAAAAATCGAAAAGTCCGAAAGTTAATTTATATAATGTTATAATATATAACTTATTAGAGAGGAAGATTAAAATGTACATATTGCAAATCAACTTCTTAAAAATCTACTAAAATCTATAAGAATTTTTAATTATTTATTACAGACGACCAGATCCTAACGCCATCGTGCCGCTGTCTGGCAACGACATTACTTACGGTTATTACGCTCCGACGACTATCAGACCCCAACCGATTTCGAGAAACAATTATTATTCTAGTCGATCAGGCTACCCTTCTGAACTTCAAAGCCTGGACGTTTATCATCGACCACATGCTACGTATTATCGCGAATCCGCAGCTCGACCACCAACTCAGATTCTGGAAGCTCCATACGATCCTGCTATCGGAAGTTCCTCCCTCAAACCAAACTATCAATCGCCAAGCGTTTCTCAAAACGATTTCCCGTCATATGACGGCACTCATACTACAGCGAATGGTTTCCAGTATTATTTAAGGAGGCAATATCATGAAGAAGAAAGGGAGCCTGAAGGCAACAACGTCGGCTCTTTCGGTTATATCGATCCATTTGGTATTAGACGGGTGATTTATTATAAGACGGATCCGTTCTCCGGTGGATTCCTCCATAAAAAGAACAATCGATACGTCGGTTTCAACGCGACGCCATACGATCCACTTCCGCCTGATCTGTCCAGGACGCGGCTCTCGAGAGCCCTCCCGACGAGCGCTTCTTAACAGTTCCATCATTATTCATTGCTTTACCACGTTATAGCATCACGTTTTATCGCGAAGAGTTCATCATCCAATACCGCGTCGACGCTGGGTTTCGCTACGCTGGACGGCCTTGGTTCGATTCCGATGATCTCGACAGCGAGACCATTTGTCGAATCGAACTGCCGTCTGTTATCTTAAGCAATCTTATTGATCGTGAATTTTCTAGTCAGGATGGAACCAACAGATACTGTTAAAAGGAGAAAGAACAATGATGAATAGAGACGGTCTCGTAAATATTAAAGATCGTCTATATTCTAAGATAGATAAAAATTCTCCAGCAGGGATTCTCGATCACCAACGTTGCTTATGTGTAATATATAGATATAACGTTTCTCAAAGTGCCACAACTAATATTCTTTTGATGTACGACTCCGTTTTTGTCAGTATCGCCAACGATTCCCAATATTATTCGAGATGATGTAACATTATACGAGGGTCGATTGAATCAGGAGACTATCGAAATACAGTAGATAAAAAGGTTCCAACGGAGAATTAGAGATAAGGATTGTGCGAGATTAACACAATGACTTTCGTCATCGAGAAGGCGGTGGCTTCCTGATTCGTCGTCCTGTCTTTGTTCTGCTATTATCGCGAGTAGATGATCGGATACCACAAAGAGACAACGTTAGATGCCATGCTGGACTATAACTCAATTTTCAGGGAAGCGCGCGATGGGACTTCCTTGAAAAAAAAAATTGTAGAATGCGTCGGACAATGTTCGCGAACCTTTCCAATTGCGTCACCGATCTCTATGAAACGTGCGAAGACTCGCGACCGCCATTGTCCTCATACGCGTAAGCTTCTTTCAGTTAGGCCTAGTTCCACAATTCACGGTTAACTCTTTAACCGAGGTTCAACTTATTCATTGTCTCTTTCCAATTTTTGAATTGGAAAGAGATGAGAAACAAATTGAACTTCAGTTAAGAGTTAACCGTGAGTTGTGGAACTGGGCCTTAGTAGTCTATTTTTTGCAGGGATATTTTAGAAAATATTTATTTTCATTTGAGATGTAATCAAAATACATATCTATACAATTGTCTCTTGATAGCAAAAAATTAAAAAAAAAATTTTTCAAACTAACTATTTAAATTATCGAAAGTTTTTGCAATTTTCTGTAGCTTTTAGGGTAAGACTTGGCAAGAAGTACACACTTTTCCCTTATATGCTGTATAACTTATACAAGAACTGTGTTTGAGCAGTAAAATGCTATTTATATGCTTCTACTTCCTTATAGTTTGAATTAAAAGTTTATCAAATATCGATTTGATATAGGCTGCGGTCCACTTAGCGCTTCGAACGCTACAGAGCATTTGTAGCACTGATATAACTGGTCCATTTGATGCTTCGGAATGCTCCCAGCAACTCTGATTACGTCATCAATACGTCATCGTTTTTGCTCCCACTTCGCTTCAACTGCCTCACCTCGGGAGATGGGTTAGCTGGAGCGTTCACGTAGCAATTGTAGCATTTGAAATAGTAATGGACCAATCGGAGCGTAACGTTTGGAGCATAACGTTTAGAGCATTTGGAAAAAGCAAGTGGACCACAGCCATAAACTTATTTTTATAGGAGATTAATTTTATTGAAAAGGTAAAAATATAAGTAAAGAAATATTTTTTTAAAGTGTGTACCTTTGGGTAAATGTATTCTCAAGAATACGACACTATTAAAAAAGTGTCGTTTATTGTATAAACGATTGATTAAGATACAAAAAGTATTAATTTTTGTTTGAGTATAAATCTTTATAAATTATACTTGAAGCATTTTTACATGCAGAATTCACATAAGTAAGTTTTCGAGCGACAATCGATCCCAGAGCAATCGATCTATGAGCCCAAAGTTAGCAGCTTTAGCATTAGATCCAATTTTTACCAGATTTGAAATTCAAATACAAACTGTTACAAAATATGTAAACTGTATTATCGTTATCACCGTCTACATCTATCACTATTTTTCACGGGCTGAATCAATTTAAGTTTTCAAGTACGTATTTTTATGCCATTATGTCGTTTTTTACTTCTAACATAACTATTTTTGATAAAAACTATTACAGATATTAAGTAAATATGAAACAGTGACATATATGCACACAACATAAATGATACAGATTCACAAAGCAATAATTTAATGTAAAAACCGATCAATTTCGTGAAAATACAATAAGAAAGTGGTCATAATTATAAAATTTAATATACCTCCTTTATCGCTGCAATAATCACAACTATCTTTTGTATATATACAGATTGGTTAATCAAATAGGCACGTTCTGTATAAATTACAGCTGCTACGATCTAATAGTTGCGCCGTAAAGCTCAATGCGTATTCTTAAGCGGTGTATACTCTTGAGCGGATTTACCCGTTTTTTCGCTTAGCGAATATCGATCTACGACAAAAAAGAATCCCACCTATCAAATCAAAAAATATAAAACGATCGACATTTTGGCATGAGCGAATCGATCATTAATTTTGTAATATTTTTTTTGTATTAACGACATTCCATCCAGCAAGGTATCACAACTTTATTGGTTACGAAAGAACTGCGTTATACTGTAAGGTGGCATTATAGTGGTGATTTATATCGTTACCGAATCGCATCTTAAAAATCTGATGCGAGAAACACAGTGCAGATTATGCAAATGTGCATTGTTGTACGTTACATGGTTAATTCAGCGTGAGCCGCAGATCCGGAAATCTTAATAGCTTTCTATTACTGATTCTGCTGACGCTAATAGCAGTAGTTTCCTTCTTAGTTTATAATGCGTGTCCGCGGATACTTTTCACGTACTACTAATTTTTCGCGGTATACCGGAAGACTATTCGCTCGTGCCAAATGATGAAAGAGACGACGTAGAATTAGTTAACCGTTAAACTTAAACCTCTTTACATCGCGACAATGGTGCAGATTGTTAAGTAAAAACAGATACATCGCGCACTTTCCGTTCTTTTCTCGGCGATGAGAACCGTGGTGTTACGCTCTTTGCATCTAATAGTCAATTGCGATTTTCAGATTAAAGTTCCCCCGCGACTGACAATGACTGCGTTCAGGGGACTCAACAGTTGAGTGAGCGCTCGCTGCTATTGATGTATTCTTCCAGATTTAAAATGCTGATTGGATGATCTAAAAAACTGTCGTCTTGTTGACATGCATAAGTCATTACTAAGTATGGATGCGGATATACAGCGAAATTAATTTAATTTTTAATTGATTATGTTCACGGTTTGATGGGTGAGTGATCTCTCTCTTTCTAGTTTTCATTTATTTTACATTCTTCCTTAATACCTTAATAATGATTGGATTATTTATATAGAATTCATCTTCAATTTTTATTTGGTCGCCGGATCTGTTAACCTGGTGTCTTTGTAAATGAAGCGGAATGATTGGGCACTCTCCTATCAAACCAGTTAAGAATTTTGATTGTATATGGATCAGATACACTGAGGATGGCTCGAATGTAAGCCGAAACGTCTGATTTTTTTCATATTTAATAAATAATTTGCTCGCACGACTTACAGCGAAAAAACTCTCATTAGCCTGTTCTCTATTTATATTTTGACATTCTCGAGAGTTTATTTGTATTTCTTATATTGATCTAAAAGAATACATCAATAACAGCGAGCGATCACTCAATTGTTGAGTCCGTTGAACGCAGCCATTACAATTGTTCGTATATCAAAAAGTCAAGGGATACGATTTGTGCATAAAGAATATCATTTTATCCTTAACTTATTTTATAAATAAATGTGAAAGCGAACAATGGCTTACACATAGAATGTCAAACATGTGATATCAGATAGTTTACATGAAAGTAATAAAGTAAATAAAACTGTGTTTAACATCGAAGTTATTGTTTCATTAGGAATTTTATAGTGAATATAAAGGACAACCGAAAATTTATGGCTATTTTAATTATCAAAATTGAATATGGCACAATATATGAAAGTTGTACAGCATGATAACGCGTATGTACAAACTATAGCCTTTGCATTTGTGACATAGTTTTCAATGCTGTCCACATATAAAATAACAATTTAACATAATTTAGTAACATTTGATCCGGTATATTCAACTTTAATTGTATGTATCTTACATTTTAAAATAAATAAAAATATTAGTATAATATAATACAATTAAAAATATTTGTTAAGTGTTGTTAATGAGTTTTATAGAGGTTATCGAATTAAATTGATTTTATCTAGGAAAGCATTTTCAAACTTTCTATTGCGACAAACTGTAAAGAGAAATTCTTGATCAAGCTATTAAATATCCGACTTGGCTCTGATAATATATATTTTTTATGGCATATTTTTTTTATTTTGACGGTAATACAGCATCTTTTTGAATTTATCTAAAATCGATTTTTAAGAATATATTCTTATCTTACAAATCTACAAGAGTCTCCTGTAATTATTTCCGAATAATTGTTAATAATTTGAAGTATTTATAACGTTACTTGGATTGCAAGGAGCAGTATATATAATATTATCGATGATTCTGTGTCGTATAATAACGTCAGTGCGATGTGCATCCAGGAGCACCAGTATCCGCTTACTTATATCTGATTATCATACCTCATTCAAAGTTTCACCGGTCTCGACGCGCTACCTCGTGACAAGTTTCACCAGCTTCGGAGAGTGCTCTCTTTCTTTCTTCTCCAAGCACGAAGACTGATGCCTTTATAGATTTGTATGTACACAAAACTAATAATAAAGACCCTTTGCTTCGTTAAACGCTTATATATGTGTATTATATTTTCTTTTTTCGACCAAGCTCGAATGCAAATCTTTTAGCGTTTGTATAGGCCGTAATAATTCTTTATTCCACAGAAGATCGATTTATCGAATATCTGCATACTCATATATAGATCATTTATACATGTTTGAGAATGCATGACCGTTGATATGTGTAATCGCTGCTGGTAAGAAGTCGATGTTGTGTACTCATTTGTACAATGAATTATTTGATTTTTTTCCGCCATGTGATTCCTATTTCTTATTTTGTGTTGCTGACATATGTGTATGTACTTAATAAACATTTCTCAAAATTATACTGTTTTCTTTCATAAATACATGTTTTTACAATAATTTAGAGATGAAAAATAATTAAAAAATAAATAAATTGTAAAAAAATAAAATGCTGTGCAAAGAATCAACACAACTAACCTATTGAAAATATAGGTGTTCTGAAAACAGAAAAGTTTTTCTCTTAAGTGTAGAACAGAAGATATATTGTGAAAGAAGTCATCGAAAAATTGTATCAATGTTCTGTCTATGTGTAAATGTCTGTAATTAAAGTTCTTGCACCAAAGGCAGAAATTCTACGGCGAGGTATAAAAGTGACAGCGCCATGAATGGATGTATAGACGCAATCACGAGTTAGTTTGCTGGGTACGGTTTACTGAGTTTACTCCCGTGACATTCTTCTTTATCGCGATACAAGAAATGTCAGTTCCCACTCGAAGAGCATAATTACGCGGCAGCCGCGCCACCACAGAGAAAGATAGTGATATATAGTAGGGAATTAATCATTAATATGGGAATGCCAGGATCTCACGTTTGAAAGGCTCGATGTGATCAACGATGAAAAGATGGACGAGCAAAGTCGAGCTTACCAAAGCGATGTTTCTTACTACAAATGTACATAGAATGAAGAGTGTATTTGAGACGCGAGAGGATAAAGTAACTTAACAACTTAATAGCTATTTCTTAATAACGGTACGGTGCTGCGAATACAATGTGCTATGTTTATGAAGCATCACTATTGGTACTTTCTGTTGTATTCGTCCCGCCTGTCGACTTGCTGGCTCAAAGGCTGTTGTGCTTTTTGAGCTGCTGCGCGAGCTTCTTCCTCCTAAAAATAAACACACTGAATT